GCTTTTTATCCTAAATAAAAATAGTTTTAAAAAAAATTTAATGTATACACCTCTATGTGGTTGGTAAATAAAAGAAATCAAACGTCCCGTTATACCGACTGCTTTTTCAGGATTTTTATCGCGTCTTTTTACATGCAAGTTCCTCGATTACAATGGCCCAATATTCGTCGTCGCTTTTATTCTTCGCTAAAATTGAGTTCGATCCGATAATGTCCACAGCCATTGTACAATTCCGCACGAAATAAACGCAGCGCCGATCGAAATCCAGCAAGAGATACCTCGTACCAGGCGGAATTTCTTGCCGGTTGCATTATATTCCGACATCCTTTATCTATACTTCTCACGCTATTTCCTCCAATAATCGAGTGTCGCCGTGCATCGCGCGCAGTTATTCCGGATCGTGGCCAGTTCCGACTCTGTCGCGCGTCAATGGAATATTGCGTTTGCCGGCTGACATCAAATCGAGCGGGAAAACTATAAGAGGGAAATGACTGGAGAATAGGACAATTTCTGTACGTCAAAGGAAAAGAACATAAAGTAACGAACAAAAATGCGTGTTCTTTTTTTTAGGATCGATATAAGGAAATCTTTTTCCAAAAATATACTAAAAAATGCGAGTTCTGAATTCTGTAAAATTTCATCACTTTTGTTAAATAATATTTATTAACTGTGGATTTACAATTGTTTAATGCAACGTAGGGAAACAATATTAAAGTTATTATTTATTATTATATAACGAATGCTTCAAACAAACATACATATTCTTTAAATACATTCCTTCAGTTTCAATTGATCAATTTTTAAAATGTAAACTGGTGAGAGATCATTAAAAGATGAAGACGAGTGAACTAACCGCATCCCAATCGTACGTGACACGACATAGTCGGAGTGACTCAGTCATTGCATAATCGCAATGGTGAAACCGAAATCGCGGCAGACGCTAAAGCGTAAAAGAGGTCAGCTTGACGGAGGTCGTGATGACAGCGCCTGTTCTACGTGGCGTGTGTGATGTGCAGCACGCCTCTGGCTAACCGATGGACGAAGCTGGATAACGTTAACTTGATTTACGGATAGAGCCGAAGGCTTTTCAAAATTTGCATTGCAGTGAGAGATGAATGAATATGTTCATATGAGAGAAAGAGAGAGAAATAGAAAGGGAGAGAGAGAGAAAGAGAGTGGAAGTGGAAGTGACGGAAGAACATTGTGGAAAATACTGTTATAACGGTTTGGTAGGAGATCAAGGAAGAGGGAGATTAGGCCGAGTTAATGGAATCAAGGATAACTCGATAGAGATGGCAGGATGACTCGGGCCGAGCGAAGTTCCGACGAGCCATCCTATCCACCCCTATCTTTCAGCTGGATCAGTTTATCATCGTGGTACACGCGAAATTAGATCCGTCCTCTGCAAACACTTCGTTCGGTTCGTTTTACGGATTTTCGGTCGATCGTTCGCATAATCTCGGTATTCTTATTGGAATCCTCTCCTCTCTCTTTTTATCTCTCTCGCTTTCTCTCTTTCTCTCTCTCTCTCTCTCGAAATGCAGCTTGAAAACGTTGATTTTCCCTTTGACGCTGTTCCATAAAAAATCATTAAATTATTAACTCGTTTACTCGCGTTAAAATATTTCACAATTTTTCTCTTTGTATATGTATACGTGAAAATTGATCTAAATATATATGTTTTCAAATATAATTTTAGCTAATCCCTTTTTTCTCTCGAAAAGTGAATAAATAAATAAAAAATATCGCACAATATATTTTCTCTCTCTTTTCTCTCCCTCGATTTAAAAATTTCCTTCAATATTGTCTGTGTTACAAGAACAATGCTTCTCGTGTACTTTAAGCATTAATATTAATACCTTAAAGTAATTTACAAAATTACTGCACTTTGCGATATTCCCACGGTGACATCTCGATATCTTTGTTTTCTCGCCTCTATTCCTTCTCGCAAGCGCTTTATTCCCAAGACCGATCATTTTGTCACTGACGTAGGTACCGATGCGAAATACGACGCAGGCACGCGGAAGGAAAAGCAAAGGGAATATCGAAATCTCGTAACCGCCACGGCAATGTTTTATAGCTGCGAGATACGAGTCGAGCGTTCCCTGAGTGGAAAAACTTGACGGTCCTCGTCTTGCGAGGCATCCGAAGAGGCAATACAGCGAGGCGAAGTAAGATAGGAAATGCGAAATGTCGAAGAGGATATTCACTTCGCAAAAGACACGCGCCCGCATGTGTGCACCTTAAAGTGAAAGAGGAAACTGCGCGTGCAAGTAAAGGTAAATGTAGCACGACCATTGGCGAAACAATATATTACGGCGCACTTACCGTGTCGGAAGTCCAAGTAAGATACGATATAAAGTTGTCGCATGATACATAACAATGGCGCAAAGATAACTTTCCTTACAGAAGAACTTTCCGAGCAATAATTCCCCGTGCGCCTGCTGTCCGGAGGGAACGTATAGCGAATAGCATGCGGCTGTCAAATAGCATCCTCGATACCGAACATCGCGCGTTTCGGCGTAGAGCGAAGGGTAAAAAGTGAGAAGGAGCTACGTAACTTACGAATGCATTCTGCATCCTTCCGCATTTAATTAGAGACCCCGTTTCCACGAATAAAACTTTTCTTTCTCTTTAGAAGGATCGATATAAAATTGCGAGGTTATAGACCTATCTTCGGGAGTATCAGTAATTCTACCAAGGGATGAAAACCAGATGTAGCCCGACATAAGGACCCTGCCGCGCGCCTTCTTTTTTCGCTACTTTACACGAACGGGTAAGTCTGTGCGCTGTAAATTTAGCATGTATATGATACAAGTTTGATGTGTTCGTGCACGGGATAAGAAATTTAATTTTGTTCGATCTTAAATAATTTTCAAGGAGATTTAGTGATATATATATCCGTGCATGTGTGCACGTACTTTTACTTTAAATACATACATATATTTTTTCAATATTATTTTTATTGAAAATATATTATTATATCTTTCAAATAGAACTTGTAAAAATGTCTATAAAAATATTGATATGTATATAGTAAAATTTACTATGTATATAGTAATATTTATAATATACATATTAATATTTTTCTGTATTGTCACACGATTACCATGATTTTCAGGGTAAATTTTAAGAGAGAATTCTCTCCGTGTATATAAAATAAAATTTGGAGAGATATATCACGGGAACGAAACAGAATTAACCATGTACAAAGTTAACCGTAGAATCGCGTATGTGCTGTCCACATATGTAGAGAGTTGCAGTTGAAGAGAGCTAGCGGAAAAGGAGAACGTAGCGCGTGACCGCCCTAAGGTCGAGATGCGCAATGTCGAAGAGGACAGCGACACTTTGGAAAGCACCACCGGTACAGGGAACATTGCGGCGACGGGGCCAGCCTTCGTGTAACGGGAGAAGATCACAGAGCGAAGAGACGCGGAGGCGCCTGCGCCCTCGAGTACGCCGGAGTTCCTGCGTGCGTTTCCATCAGTCGGGTCTTCAACTCCGGACCGCGAGCAACGGCACGATTCCGCGCCGTCGTCCGCGTCGCGACGTATCCTCCCCGACGAGGTTCCACCCCTTCGGTCGTGATCGCGCCGACCTACCCCACTGAACGAGTCGAGAGAAGAGAGAAAGAGCAAAGTAGAATATCACGTACGAAATTTCGAAGGCACGCCACATCTCGCCGAAGCGATATCTTCTCTGTTATCCTGCTTCATCTGTACGTCCGTAAATTCGCGATCTCGTAGTTTCTTGCTCTACTTGTAAAGCCGAAACTTACATTGAAAAGCTCGGGCAAAGTTTTGCGCGTGCGACCGCGAAGAAAATCCGCGCGGAAAAAATTACTTATATCGGTCAGCACACTTCCTCTGGAATTTACGAGCGGAACAGATGCGCCCTGACCCGCGCGCAGATTTTTATGGAACGCGAACCTGTCCGCGGAACGATGACCGGAATTTTCGTAAGAGTGGAAGGATGGAGAGAGAATGCTCGCGAAAAAATCGCGTTTATTTAAATCAGATATCGTTCGTGTTGCAAACAAATAACGTATAATATATAAAAATTTTCTGTACATATAAAAATGAATTTTTTTTATACAATATATTATATACAAGTAGTGATAAGTTGAGAAAAAAAATAGTTTGAGCTTATTCTTACTTATTACATAAAATATATAATAATTCTTTGCTATATAGATAATGCATTTTGCGTGACTTCTCTGATTAATAACTTCGTTCATTATTTGACAGAAAAGTTTGATTACACATTATAAACGGAAAAGTAAGTGGAATAAAGTTTCTTTATAGGAATCAAAGTTTTGTTGAAAATAATTCCGACAACTGCACGGCTGTTCGATACAATTGTTGAAAAGCACAATCAAAATGTTTACTGTGAAACACAGCTGTCAGATGCATCTGTACCGATTCGCGTGTTCGTACCGAGAAAAAGTCAACTATCAACGATAGTCGTATATCTTGCACATCGCTAAATTAACTTGTCAACTTTTCCACGTCACGCTAAAATATGGACGTTCGCGCGCATCTTCGAATATTAAACTAACAGCGTCGACGAAGTTTCCTTCGCGCCAATTAACGTTCTCTAATATGCGCGTTCGTGAAAAAAATGTCAAACGATGAGTAAAAAAATTTAAATCGCTAAGATGACTTGTGTTCGATAAGGGAGAGGAAATTATGTGTCGCATTTCCGTGAGTGATTTTGTTCTACCGTAAATTCAAACAAACATGTGATTTGATATATAAAGCAATGCTAGCTAATACTATATCTAGCTAATACTAGTTATTTCAAGCTTTGCGCTATATATTCATATATTTAAAATATTACTAAATTAATCAATATATTGACTGTAACGTATACAAAAAATAACCCACTTTTTTTTAATATTTATATTTTCCATCGATCGATATTTAGTATAGCTTTCGAAATAGTCCGCGGTCGCGGATAAATATGTCAAAATTATTTGTTGAAAAAATAAAAACATAAAAGATATGAAATTTCATCTTCCAGTTAAAGAGCACATATCTACACATGAGCGTGTACAAACATATGCTCTATCGCAGCAGTTGAAAAGGCGCGGTCGTCAGCGCTAATTAATCATCGGTATGCAGATAAATGCTGTGTATCATGGCGATAACCGGGCGTGAGAGCGGGCGGCCGCGTCTGCCGATAATTATGAACAAGCTAACTCATTAGTCGCAGTCGACGTTAACGGCCTCGTTGTTGCACGCCATCGCTCGCCACGGGTTTGTCCGATCTTCTATAAGCTGTCGAATTACTAACCGCGCTCGCGTTAAGAAGATTACGCGTCCGACGTGACGGGCACAATGAGATTATGTGTCAGAAAGAGAGCGTGCATAGAGAGGATAATTATGGGGAATTATCTCTGTGATGTTCAGCGTTTATGATAACTCGAAATATTGCAATATAACGCCCGGGAACAACAGTGATGAACGGATTATAGTCATCAATTATACCTGACATCATGCACCGATTCGATCGCCTCTTTCCATAATCCGGTGCGACGCTAATCAAATCTGATCTTCATTATGTTGACATCTCATGATAAGAGTAAGACATTAACGGAGGAGATAAAAACCAAGAGATGAAAAATTTTATTCGTTTCGTGCAAAAAAAAACTTCAAATATAATATTATTTTTCCGCAACATATCTCTTCTGGCGAATATACGCAACGAATATATAATATAATAGCGAATATAAGCTGATTATTACCATGGATATTAATTTTTAATTATAAGTTACTCTGTACGATGCACTAATACGGTTTATTATAATATGAGCTATTGTATAGTGTATTAGCGAATTAATTTTAAAATTCAAATCGAACTCGATTACCCAGTAATATATTTATGCGTGTATTTTAATCTCGCAATAATTTACATCGATCTCTCGCAATTTGATTCGTCGGACTATATAAAATATATATATTTCTCATTAAAGATTCTTCCGTGCGATAATTCAATTCCTTCCAGTCTACAAATTACGAAAATCCACCTCTCTTTACAGGTCAGCGGAAGTTAGAAAATATCAGAGTCAACCGCAGCACGGCGATCCATTATCAAGTGACGTCGAAGCGTCGGCCGCGAGATCCATCTCGCCGCTTTTCGAATGCGTATACAATTAAACGCGGAACTTAATTGAGTGCGTCGAATTTATCGCGACGGATTTACGAGCCGCGTTTTGTGACAGTGCCGCGTGACATTCGCGGACGCGATTATGAAACGCCGTCGCCGATGCGAGTGATTTAGTAATAGTAATAGAGAGAGAGAGAGAGACAGAAAAGGGAGCCACACCCTCAAAGCTACACCCCGAGAGAGAAAGAGAGAGAGCCGTGCGTCGCGCACGAAAGATACCGGAAGATGGATCGCGTATCAAAAAACATCCGGGAACACTGATCACCGACCGCAGGAATAAAGAGAGAAACTAGGCAAGATATTTTCGCGCGCGTTCAGGTAGGACGCCTTCGTCTCTCGCCGGTCTAATTAATCTTCGGGACGTAACGAGCGGGACTGCCTGTGGGATTCCCGTAGCACGACATCCCCTTCTCGAAGGTACCTCTTGTGAAACTCTCAGCTGCAAGTGGCACGAGCTACGTAAGTAGCCCGAGATCCGGTCTATCAGACTGCGAGTGAAAGATTTGATATTTTTTAAATGTCATCTTAATTAATATGCACCTTTTTATGGGAAGTTCAATTTCCTTGAAATATACCCAAATGGCGCACGATCAAAGCGCGTCAGAACACAAACTCAAGGTCGACGCCGACGTAAATTAAAGACCATCGACATCGATAACCTTGCTAAGTGGTTTCAACCAGCAGCACTTTACATTGGCGAGAATCGTGAAAGGCGACGTGTCTTCGATTACCGAGTGACTTTAGATCTCACGAGCGCCGGCGAAGAAATCGATAAGGGTCGTATTCGGAAGAAAGGACCTTCAATCCTTAAAGGCTAGTAGAAAGACGACACAGAAAGCTCTGAAAACCTGTCCCTGAGCAAACTATCGAAGCAAATCCCCGAGGGGACTCGATGCATCGACAGTCATATTCGCCCTCGAAGAAGATGCAGCGGATGGGATGAAAGTGAGAAAAGCACAAAAAATACATTTTGCAAATGATTAAGTATAGTTTGATCGAGGAAGTGCTCATCGGGCAATTGACTTCTCCATCGATCAGAATGAATGCCGGCAAAGAATCAAACCGCAAACGTTCGAGCGAGGAGCAACAGTGATAAGCGGCGTATTCGGAAGATTAATTCCGAAAGTGGCCGAAAGAATTTTGAATTACGATAGCAGATTGAATCGATCGAAATGCGCCGCAATTTCAAAGATCGACGGTTGCATTAAGAGGGACGTTAATTTTGCTGCGCGAAGATATTAAGTGGCGGAACGAGCGCAAAGAGGGGTTATCCCGAGCGAAGAGACAAGAAATTGGAAGAGACGCAACCAGACGGAATAAGAAGCGCGGAGACAGCAGCTGCATCGGACAGAGTCTATGGCAATGAGGGCGAAAGGTTAATCTGGAAGGTGGGGTAGAACAAAGGGGACAGGAGGGTTTGAAGTAGCTATCGCGGCGATAAAAAAAAGTAGATCTGTGGACCGGCTGAATGTGAGAAATTGGGGTGGGCCCGAGGATGTGCGAAGACGAATGCGCTAAAGATAAGAGCCGGTTCTGAAGAGGTAGGCAAGCACTGATCCTTGAACTCTGTTATCCCAGCGAGGGAAAAGAGAAATCGGCCTCCACGTGCGCGGTGATAAAATCGAGTGCGTATTCGAGAAATCTTATCAGTGACAAACATAGCCGGTACGATCCCCTAAAATTAGGATCTTGAAGAATCGAGTTTTCGAGAAAATTTTCGGGAAAATAAAAATTGCAATAAATCGTCACCGCGAAAAATTCATCGTAAGACTAGCTGAAGAATGATCGCGTTAAGTAATCTATTCGAAAAAATTAACTAGACACGCGATCGGGACGAAGGATCCTGTTAAGTTCCTGCAACCCGGTTGAAGGAAGTGCTGCGGGTGAGTCGGTGGGTTAACGGTGATGGCATGAGGACATTAGTAAGGACGTGCTGCGGGTCCAGCGAGGAGGAGGATGAGGATGGTGGTGGGCGTGATGGTCCTTGGTCAGCTACTGACGAGGATCCTGCTCGCGGCCCACGCAGGAGATCGCCTCGCAGCAGCTCGCAGAATTCTCAGGGACGTGCCACTGATAGATGGGTAAGTTAAGCCTCGTGTAAAAACGGGACACCGTTTCAAAAAATCGCAGTACATTCAAAACGCATAGAATCTTCTTTTAAAATATTTTCTGGATACTTTGAAATTAATTTTATTGTACCTACATATTCTGAGTTATAATTACTTAAGCAAGATTATTAAATTTTAATAGTTTTTAATTGCGACGAAATAATGTCTATAGCTTAATAATTTTCTTAATCCTTCAGTCTAAACGCAAAAAGTTTGAATTCAAATAAACATAAAATAATTTTATTTTATATGTATTATTTTTTTAATTTATTTGTGCTCCAGAATTGTGGATGGTGAATTTGTTATTATATATTACGCCTGCAGCCATTTTTGTTCCGCAATATTTCACAAAGCAGCTACAAACGGGAAATATATGTGCTAAACTAGTGTAATTTGCGTCCATGAGGAATATAGAGAGGAAAACTTTTGCAAATATGTATATGAAAATCTGAAATATTAAAAAACTACCTTTTTTAATTAACGTAATTAATATTAATTTTAATACAATACGCGTAACGACACAATCAAAATTCAAAATACGACACAATACAAATTCAAAATGTTAATACCAAATTTCGCAAAAAAAATCTCCAAATCAAAGTAATTAGGTTATGCAGCAAAATAATCGCGTCGTGTTTCAAATGCAACAAAAGTTCGCGCGAAAATTTGTATCAAAAAACTCTGACGAAAGTTAATAGAATAGCGCGTCTCTCGTCTGTTCTTTCACGTATCCCGTTTGTCCCTTTGTCACGTTGACAAGCGACCAAAAACGCAAAGTCGAAAATCCAACGAATAACGTGAATTCCACCGTATAATCGTTGGCCGTAGTACAACGAGATGCGAATTTATAGTCGGCGAGAACAATGTCATCGTAACGACGCACACGGTCGACATTGTATAGTTGGGCGTGATTCTAATTACAGCGAGAATTAGACTTCAAAGGAACGTCCGTCTTGTCCGATTTACTATGACATGCCACATCTGTATGTGTCTTTACCACCGACAATTCTATTTTGCGAACATTCTATTGACCGATCCTTTATTACTCGGAAATAAAATTGTTGTCATGTTCAACGGGAGTAAAAGTAAATCATCTTTAGTATTTAATAATCAGGAGAAATTCGCGTGGTTGGATTAAGAAATTAAAAATCAGAAAATATACAAAATCAGAATAAAAATATTTTATATATTTCGTATGGATAACTTGACTTTTTTATATATATATATACATATATATTATAAATAATTAATAAGTCAAAGAGCGATAATAGTTATTAAAAAAGTAATGTAAAATATCAAATTTGGCGAGAACACATTGTGATATACTGTATTTTATATATTTTCATAGCTATTATTATATTTTATTTCTGATTTATATACGAACTAAACCACAGAAGTTACCTACATATTAAACAAAAAGTGTTTAAATTATTTTGATGCAGACTACGTACACGACATTGAATTATTTGAAAAATTCCTAGACAAAGTTCCAAACTTCTTCGTAGTTTTGCAATATTTACCGTGTAATGTTCGAAATTGGAGAGCAATGCCGCTTGGTATTCTGTAAACCAACGATACCAATTCCGCGAAGAAGGGACGTACGAAAAACAAAAATAAGAATCAAACTTGAGAATGCAAGGAGAATTAAAAATAACCAGACAGCACTGCGCAAATAGGATTCGTCAGTCTATCGGGGTCACCGCCGGAATCGCTTCTTTATTCGAAACAAAAAAAAGAACCAATTGAATCATACCAGTCTTAGAAAGGAGAGTCGCGCATTTTCGCTGAGATAATGAGAAAGTTTTGCGAGCGCAGAAAAGAAAGGACGTTAATGGAAAGGAGAGAATAAAAAAGAAACTCGAGAGAATGGAGTGGAAGGTGCATCGGTAGGAGACGCCAAGAGGATGAAATTTACTCGGAGAGTGGCCCGTGGCTGTTGGTCTCCGGGTTTCTCGGGTTACCGGAGGGTAGATACGAATTTCCGGTTCTCTTGCTGGTACAAACCCGTGTGTGTGTCTCTTCCACCTACTTCCGTATATTTCTACTTCGCCCGCATGTCCGTATACAAATATGTGTACTCGCGTGTATTCGCTATGGGAGTATTTATATCGATGTATCTAACGTTCTCGACATTTCTCCATTTTGTATAAGAATAATTTCGAAATACATGTATGTTTGCAGAGAGTTTCAAATCTACCGTGTTTTACATCGTTACTTCTCATTATATTATTATATCAGTAATACTTTGACATATTTTCACGTATACAGCAAGCAAAGCTCATGTAAAGTGAAATATAATTTAAAAAATTATTAGTAAATTAAAACTTAAAGTTTACTTAGTTTAGGGGGAATTGATTTTGCCTGTATTGCTGTGCACATATATATTATTCCGAAATATAATTTAAAAAATAATATATATGTGCACAGCAATACAGGTAAAATCAACTCCCCCCAAACTAAGTAAACTTTAAGTAATAATCAACATTTGCCACTGCGAAACACATCTTTCTTCCGGAAATCCGAACTCCGATTCCGCTCTAGACACCGATTCTCGGAGCAAACTCCGTGAAACTCGAAAGTGGCTTCGATAAAAGACATCGGGGAAGAACCGGCGATTTCCCCGATGTCGGCAAGCCGAAGGCAACTCGTTACCGATAACGAGTGAAAGCCTCGTCGGACGAGCATTGTGCGCCAAATAATAGTTCATCTCTCTTGCTCCGATTTGAAAAAAAAAAAAAAAATAATAATAATAAATTGCCGCGGCGCCTCATGTCATATTGGTAAAATCGGAGAAAATTGTACGCCAAGTTTCCGAGAGATCGGAAGATGCCGAGCTTGAGTTTTATCCAAACAAACGACGGAATACGATAGATAAGACGGTTCTCGATTGTACTTAAAGTGCGCACTTATCTCGATCCGATATTAACGCTTAAAGATCCGCGCAAATGGATGCTGAATGAATGCGGATGCAGAGATACGGGATGTAGAAGCCGGTAACGTGCTGTATAAGGATTGCAAAGCAATCGGTCGCCCATTTATCCTCGCATCCGCACGCATTACGGATTCGCGTCGGCTCTCGCTAAGCTCAATTCTCAAGACCCTAGTGTATATTTGATAATCTCGACATGTGAATCAAATTTTCAGTCGATCTAAAAGAGTCGTGTAATTTCCGTAAATAATCGACGAAGAAAAATGTAGATTCTCTTGAAAATTTTACTAGATCCCTTCATCCCATCCATACTAAAAATGTATAATCGAGATTAATAGTCTAGAGGAAAAAAATAATGATAAGGGAGAATATACATAGAAAAATATTAGTAGTTTAATTTTAGATATCCCTATATTATCTGAAATTTATAGTTAGCATGCCTAAATTTTAACTACGGTAACTAATACTGTTAAGCTATAGTTTAATAAAGAACTTCTCGTTAAATTATAGTTAAAAATATTACTTACCATAGCTAAAATTTAGACATGACAATTAAATTTTAAATGTAATATAAAGATCTACAATTAAGCTAATATTTTTTTCGCTGTAAAACGCGTAGTAAGGAAAAGATGAGTGAAAATTACAAGAATTTTACTCTTGTTCTGAGAACAAGAAATGTCCGTAATTCTGTGGGCACCGTCAAATTAGTAGGTATATTCGGTCTGTAATTGAAATAGCTTAATGTGGCGTCGCTGGATAATTAAACCGACGATGAGCTTCCCGCATCGGAAGGAGCATTTCGCGACCGACAGTCTCGGTGATCTGGGGAAGTAACGCTTCCGTGAACCTGATAACCACGATGGACCAACGGCCATAATAATCTTGCTACGCCACCGCTGTTTATGACGTTCGTTGCTCGTCGCGGAAATATTTAATTACCCTCTTCGCGTAATTCTCTCTCGGTTAAACCGAACCGAGCGGAGTCGCTGGGATCGTGAGTTAAAGGAAAGGTGTACGAAGGGTGGTTTCCAACACGTTGCCGTAACACGCCGAAAGACTTCCGGGTGACGCTACCGCAGGAAAGAATTGCGGGAACCGTTCTCGGTGTTAACAGCACGCTCCGACTATTCAGCTCGACCGTAACATTCTCGAGACTCCTTCGTAGAGCGTTTGCGAGAATGTCCCGAGTGCTTTTAATTATTTGCAATTATGTTTCTTCTTTTTTCATTCGCGTTCTTTCATCGTGCCGCGACAGACATTACGCGCGATGAGCAATTTCACGCTTTCCTACACACGCAGAAAATTTCAAAATGTGATCTATTTAATGGAAATGTTGCCCCTCATTTTTGTCGAGCGGAAAGTAGGGCGCGCGTTTGTACCATAATTAGACGCGTATTATGCTCTCAGTAGCAAAATTGGCGTAATGTCGTCGAAATAATGAAAATGCAAGCCATTTTAACCGGTCTATAGCCGTTGAAGAAAATTTCGCGATATCAAGCAAAATGCTCATGTAAGCTTCTTCGTTTTCGTAAAAAGCGGAAGTAACGTAGAGAAAGAAATACGAAGACATGAAATGAGAAGATAGCTTTGACAGAATTTTTTAAATTCCACGGAAACTGCATACACGACCCGTCTTTAAAATTGACAAAATACGATATCGTACGATACTCTTCCTCAAATATGATAAATTATTAAAAAAAAACTTCTCGCATTATATGACGTAAAGTTTTGCTGATGTAAAGAATACGTTACATTACGGCATTTTGCTTTCATTGTACGCGAATTTGCGATTGACTGCTCTTAAGAAAATACCGTACTTGGAAAACTATTGTAGTCCTCATGTGGCAAGATATAAAATCGTCAAACGTGGAGAGATCTATAGCACGATGTCATACGCACGTTTCCTCGCGCCAAAGACACTCAATGGGATCGTAACTTTCTTTCTGGAATTGAACACGTTTTCTGAAGAATCATCACGATCGCAATAGTCGTAACTTCGCCATCGACGCTGCACTCGAAACTAAACGTATAATGTCTGATTATT